AATATTCTTATTATTCTTTAATATACTTAAAACAAATAGGAGCTAACAGATGTCTTTCAGCCTGCACTCTTATTAATGAGAATATTGTAAGAATGGAAATCAGGTCACAAATGTTTAATACTTTGTTTAAAAAGTCTTCAGCTTCTTTAAAGAGTTCCACTAATCCCAACATGACAGATGTACAAGGCAGTTTTGCTTGGGGCAGATTAAAATTCTCGCTCTGATTTGCTCTTTCATTTGGTCTGATTAAAATAACATTGCAATTTTTTTTTTTTTAATGTGCTGACTTCAAAATAAAAAAGGAAAGAATAAAAAGTGACCGGTAAAGGCCAGCATGATCACAATAAAAGCAAATTTATTGTTGTTCAGATAAAAACAGCGAGAGAAAAGGAACTGAGGGACAGCCAGCCCATACCCAGGTTAGCATTAAAGCTCTGTGTTAAAGATAAAAGGGGGACCTTTCCAAACTCTGTTTTTTCCATTTGAAAGTGTTTATTAATCTATTCTCTCTGAAGCAAAAAGTTCAATGAAATACAAAGATCAAAAGTATTTTAATTCAGGTGAAAATTATATTTTTTTTAATCTTTTCTTTTTTTAAAAAAATATAATAATGAAAAACCAAATATCACAGAGCGTGTCACTTCATTATCCTGCTGTAAGACTGGCACTTGCGGGAACAGCCTGGCTGGTAGGACAAGGTGATCTCAGCCACTCTTCCCTCAACTAAACTGCGACTGGAAATTCCCCATTTCCTCTCCTGACCTCCTCTCACACCGACCACCCTTCCCTGGACCGCCTTTCACAGCTCACTTCGTTCCCTCAGTGCGGTAAGACTCACACCCCCAGCCGAGTCCCGTCCGAAGGCGCGTGGCAGCCGGCACACCGGGATGCTCCGGTGGGATCAGGGAGGCAGGATGGAGCCCCGGCCGCGCTCGCAGCCCCTATCCTCTCCCTGCTCTCATCTGTCAATGAGCCAGAGCTACGTGGGCCTTTGCTCTCTTGGGTCTGCCCAAAACCAGCCACGGCACAAGGTGCCGGGTCCCTCCAGGGCACTGCTGGGCCCGTTTCATCCAGGCGGTGCCTCACCAAAGGCTCCCGTCGCACGGGCAGAGGCATCGCTTTAAAAAAAAAAAACAGCCAGGGATGTTCCAAACACAGTCCCCAAAGGACAAACTCCTGCTTAAAAGGACCCAGATTTCACACTAAGATCCCAGGCCGTCAGTCTCGACCCTTCCAGCCCAGAAACCTTCTCTGCCTCCCCATCCCCACCTGCAGAAGCCTTGAGGTTATTCATCCCTACAACAATAGAAAAAACACTAGTTTAGTTTTCCTTAAAACTCCAGCTTGTGCCTTCCATAAAGGAACCCACTGAAAATCCACAAAACGTTTCAACTTCCTGAGGATTTGCTCCGTTCAGGCGATTTTTAACATTTATATTCTTTAAACACAAGCGTTCAACAACGCACGTTCTTGCCTCTGAGATGCCCTCAGCTCTGTGCCCACCTCCAGGGCAGAAACAACACACACACACACACACCCCAACACATACACACACTCAAGACGCTGCAGCACAGCAGCTCCAAGAGGCGGAGGGATGCCCTCCTGCGCCGCTGCTCTCACGGAGGGGAACCCCAGAGAACCTGCACGGGGAGGAGACACTTGGAAACTGCTCTGCACCTTCTGTGTCTCAGCCCGGTCCCAAACGGCCAAACCACCCAGCAAAGCGGCTCCCAAGCTCGCCAAGGGCAAACGCCGTGCTTCCAGAAATTCCCTTTAGCCGCTTAACCTGCCAAGAGGGGAAACATGCTTCCTCCAAATATACACACACAAAGTCCTCTTCTCCTCAGCCAAAATATTTTGGGGGTGGGGTTGGGGATGACAGATTTCCGTCCCATCTCTGAAGGAAGCAGAAGGGATGCCCCAGTCCTGCTCTTTGCCATTAGTCATGACTTGGCTCCCACATCCCAGAGCAAAAAAATCTCGCGTAAATTCATTTCCCTCTAGAAGCAAAGCGTTTTGGGGCACTTCACCCGCCCCAGAAACTTTTCAGTACGTGTGCTTATCGCCCCACTTCTCTGTTCACACCCTGATCTCCTCTCTAAGCACTAGGTGGTGGATCAAGTTTCTACTTTGCGAAGGTAAACAGCCTCAGAAGCGATACAGAATACTTTAAAACAGGAGGTTTCACACAAGCCAGCCCCAGAGACACTGGGGACTCTGCATCACGCGCCCAACGAGACCAGCACTGGTACAGATGTGGTGGAGTTACTCTTTGTAGAAACCCTAGGAGTAAGATGGAAAAGGTGGAAAGAAAAAGGTGGAAAGAGGAAGGTTTCCTGACAGCGACTTCTGCCCTGCCAAAACTCCAGAGATACCTGGGAACTGAAAGGATGGGTGGGAGCCTGATAATCCCTTTCACGCAGCTGCTGCGGGGTTAGAGCCCCAAAAGACAAATAAACCTGGAGTCTGGGGCCACCTTAACCTCCCTCCTGGGTGTCAGCACCCTTCTCTGCACAGCCAGGGAGGAAACGGCATTTGCACAACCAGTAATCAAAGAAGAAATTTGTTGGGGGGAAGAAGAGTAACACAAGGTGGTGTATTCCCAGCTCTGGAAGTTTACAGAGCGGATCCTCCACCCTCGGCTCCCGCGTATTAGAAAGAGGAACAGCTATAAAGTGATGACAGGAGATGTCCTTTGTCATGACGGAAAGAGCTCTAGCAACTAAGCAGCAGAGTTTACAGTTGGAAAAAAAAGAAAAAAAAAAAAAGTCCTTCAATTTACAAACCGACACGCACTTCGAAAGGGAGGACGGGGGTCTTACCCCCCCGCTTTGCCATTTAACTCTCACGTCTGACTTCGCAGCAATAACGCGATGCTTCCCCCGTCTCCCTCCCCTTCCCACGGCTGATTTCATGTCTTCTGGGAAGCCCGGCCCAGCCCAGCCGTGGCTATTTTCCCCCGCATGCTTCAGCCTTTACTGTAAACCTGCCGCTTCCCCCTCCTCGCTCTGTTCTCAGGGAGCAGAGGGTCCCCCCCAAACTTTGGAGTGAGAGGGATGCCGGCCCCCCTTGCAAAATAAACAACCCCAGGCTGCAAAAGGAGGGCTCTATCTATCCCTCACGGCATGGAGAGCTTGGGACCACCTCGCACTGTACCGACCGATTTTTTGGGGCTCGGGAGTATAAACTCACCTGCCCCCCTCCAGCCCAGATGTAGAACCACAGTGGAGGGAGAAGAGTTTATACTCCCGAGCTCCAAAAGCTGCGGAATTCAGCCCGTTTAGGGCGTTTTGCTGACTTCGGGTGCACGGCTCCCCCCCTCAGAGACCATCAAGCAGCCAAGTTCAGAGGCAGCACCCCAAAGCCGAGGTCTCCGGGGGGAGTGTGTGTGTGTGGAAGGGACGGGGGGGGGGTTAGTTTAGCACCGTCTGCTAAAATGGCAGCTGCTCTGACGCCGAACTACGTCTTGCAAAGTCAGCCCTGCCCTCGTCATCTGACTGCCGGGAACCGGGGGCGCTCCGCTGCTGGCTCCCCCGGGGGCTCTGCGGGACGAGGTGAGGGGGGGGAGCAGAGGCAGAGGAGCCCCTCGCCCCTCCGCAGTGGCTTCGAGTTGTTGGGGAAAGTCCCGGCCCAGCTGGGTTAGTCGCCGGCCTAATGACTTTCCCCAGCCCCCGGCGGGAAGGCACCTGGGCTCGCTGGGGGGGTGTGTGCCCCCCCTCAGCTTCCCTCCTACCCCAGACCGGGGGTATTAACCGCCAGATCCCCCCTGCTCCGTGCCTGCCTCCCCC